ATTTTTTTTTTTGGTACCAGGGACCTTGTGCTTGCATGACAGGCAGCAGAACCACTGAGCTAAATCCCTGGCCCGTTTTGATTTTCTTTTTGAGACAGGGTCTCACTTTGTAGTTGACATTGACCTGTAACTTATTGTAAGAGTCTGACTGAACTAGAGCGACTTCATATTGACCAGCAAACGACCTAGAGACTGTCGCTCCCCTCATCCCTTATAGGATAACTAATGATTAATTGTGAATTGTTAGGTATCTGCTTTGAAGTAGCTGGGAAACTAAATGGTAACTGTAGTGAACACAGAGACCCAACATAAATCACGCCACTCCTTGCTTGCCTGTAGTTGAATGTTCTGAACATTATAATCTAAGTTGTAAATGGAATAATGGATAATCGATCTGTTGATCATTAGTATGTGACGGTCGAGTATATGATGACCACTAGCTCAGATCAACTGATTCTTTGCCTTTGTCCCCTTCCTGTAAGTTTTGAGTGTAACCCCCCCCCCCATTAGCCCTATATAAAATGGCCTCTGTTTCCGAGCTAGCTGCCTCTCTGAGCTACTTGGCTTCGGGAGTGCTGTCTGGCCAGACTAATAAAGGTCTATTTGCCAACTTGCCTGGTGTGTTCCTTCCTGGGTGACTCTCGCTGTCCAACAAGCTCCTGGAGCCTCACTGAGCTTCTGAGCCCAGCATCGTGGAAGCCTCTTGGCTGTTCACGCTCCAGGAGTAAAAGTGAGACTTAAGTCTTAAACTATGTAGCTAACACTGGTCTCAAACTCAGCGATTCTCCTGTCTCAACCTCCGGAGTGCTGGGATTACAGGTGTGTGCCACCAGGCCTGGGCTGTTTTGATTTTTTTCGGGGGTGGGTACTAGGAATTGAACTCAGGGTGTCCACGCTTATCAGGTAGGTGCTGTGCTGCCCCCTGCTGAGCTACAGCCCTTTTGATTAAAGCTGCTGACCCCCAAGCCCTCTTTTGATTATTAGAGCTTTTTAGGTTTTGAAATTTAAAGTGTAAGTACTCCAACTCCGTTCTTTTTCAGTTTTTTGAAAGTGTCTAACTTACCCAAGTGGCCTTAAATTTGCAATTTTCCCACCTCAGCCTCCCAAGTAGTTGCAATTATAGGCATGCTCCACTGTGCCTATCTCAATATTGTTTTCATTCCCAGTCCCTTTATTTCCATATTTCATTTTAGAGACAAAGTCTTGCTATGTCTTAAACTTCTAGATTCAAGTGTTCCTCTTGCCTTAGCCTCCACAGTAGCCAGGGCTACAGGTGTATGTCACTGGACCCAGTTTTTCTATATGAATTTCAAGATTTAAGTCAAACTCTTAGCATGATACACAAGATCCCCAGTGATTGGTCCCTGGCTCAAGCCTCTATAACTGTCTTTTCCTTTCATAGCCTGTACGCTTGCCTTAGTCCTTTTGTGCACAGTGGGTAGGCACTCAATACATGTCTGTTAAATGATAAAATGTCCTCAGTTGCCAAAAGAGCTTGGACCATGATTCAAAGACCAATTTCAGCATCTGAGAACATGCACAATTAGACGGGCTTCTATCAAGTTTCCAGAAAGGACCATAGGCAGCTAAGTTAGAGAAAAATGAAATATAGCTGGAGAGGGACTGGGCTCTCAAGGAAGTCAGCAGACAATCAGAGACACTGGAATTGTGGCTGGAGGCACAACAGAAGAAAGCAAGGTCTCAAGAAAGGGAAGGGTTGGATAGGGCGGGGGATTTAGCTCAGCGGGTTCGGTGGCCTGCCTTCCAAGAGCAAGGACCTGAGTTCAATCCCCGGTATCCCCCACCCCAAAACAAGGAAGTGTTGGAGATTTAGCTCAGTGGTGCCTCCGCCTGCCTTGCAAGCTCAAGGTCCTGAGTTAGATCCCCGTGCCTGGGGAGCGGGGAGATAAAGTCACCAAGGCCAGCCTGGCATACTTCCCTAAAGAGTTAAGTGGAAACTTGAAATTATACTATAATTAGTACCACCCCTTCCATTAAGCCCAGAAATGCATCAGATACAGGGGTGGGTGGTGACTAGGACATCTGGACCCATCCCTTCCTAAATCTGTTTTACGATCATAAATAAGCCAAGGTTAACGACACCAGCCATATGACCTTGCTGCATGCCCGCTTCCTATTGGATCAGTATCAGCTAAGGAACTGTACTTGTCACCCTATTGGTTGGTTGGTTTGATCCACATTGTACCCACCTCGTGACTTTGTTATATAAACTGCCCCTGACCAAGGGCCTCGGTGGCCATCCCGTTTCTGGAACCCTTCCTGTCCCACTGGAGCTATTCCTATTCCCCAATAAACCTTTTCTACTCTTAACCTTCCCCACTCCTGGAATCAGACTCAGGACCTTGCACTTGTCAGGAAGGCGGGGCGCCACTGAGTTACATCCCTGGGTCCTACTCTTAACCTCCTTTCTCCTTTGGAATTCATTCTATTTCAGGGTGCATGAACTCGGCCCATCTAACACCTAGCAGGTGAGGGGTTATATTTCTCTCACATCAAATGTAGGAAATAGAAGAACAAATGAAATATCACTTGGAAAAACTGAAATACAACCTAATTACAGATTAGAAGAAAATCAGTTTATGATCAATAGTGCTCCCACATTGGGTTTACAGATCGAACCCGGAACTTTCACACTGAGCTACATGCTTAGCGACCACCTCCCGCCCCTTGAGATAGCACCTTGATAAACAGCCTGGGCTAGGGTCAAACACAGGATCCTCCTGTCTCAGGCTCCCAGACTGCTGAGATTACAAGTGTGCACCACCATGCCCAGCTGATTTTTGCTTTTTTTTGGTGTGTGTGTGAACAACAGATTAAAACTACCAAATGCCCCAAAGGCAAGAGGGAAGCTGAACTATAATTATTACTCCAAAGTCCTGACAACGGCGTCCTTCCTTTCCGAGCGCTACCACTGTTCCCTGACCCAGCCGCCTTTACCTTCACCACTGTGGATCTCAGCTCACTTCAGCTGTGATGGTCTCACTGCTCCAAGTAAAGACTGCAATCTGTCAGTCTGCAGGCTGGGGCCACAGCTTAGTAGTAGATGCTTGCTTAACAAGTTCAAGGTCCTGGGTGCCACTCCAGTCCCCCACCTCCCCAACACACAGAACCCATCAACTCCCAGGTCGCACTCTACGTGTGAGGAAGTAAACACAATCAGGCATCAATATTTATTAACACAAGACAAAGGAAACACATTCAATGAGTTAATAGAACACTGTCCAGCCAGATGTTAAATTTTAAAACGTATATCTAGTCTAATTTCAAATAAATAAAAAACTTTATACATAATTACACAGTACTATAGTTTGAATTTGACAAGGGTAAATATCTTGACAGAAAGTAAACAAAACAGCATTTAGAACTAAAAAATTTATTCTTATATCTTTACAATCTCTTCCTCTGGACAAATAATACGGCCCATCTACATACACCTAAACCGGAAATGTGGTATGAATGATAAGAAAAGGCCTATTATGTATTTGGAGTACTGCAACTTCTTGCTACAAATACTCCTGCTTTTACATCAAAGCAGATGACAAAAATGACACCACTAAGGCATAGATCATGTTGGAGTTTGAGGATGAGGTGATGACTCCTCCTACATTAGTCTAAGAGATTCCTGGATATTTAAGGACTGTAATTTATTTGGCCAAGAAATTCAGCACCAAGCCTGGAGCGGAGACCTTAACACAAATTTAAGGCCTCAGGCCCTTTGTTGATTCAACAAAAACATTAAGCAAGCACTGCCCAGGGATTAAGTAAGGAGTGACACTCAAACTCTAGACAAGTGGCCCCGCATGGTGGCGCACGCCTGTAATCCCACCACTGGGGAGGGTGAGGCAGGAGGATCACTGTGAGTTCAAGACCAGCCTGGGCTACATAGTGAGTTCCAGGTCAGCCTCAACTACATAGTGAGACCCTGTCTCAAAAAAAAAACCCAACCAAACAAAAAAAAACAACAAAAAAACTAGACTAGTGATGGTCCCAAAACAGCCTGAGGCAACACAACTGCAGAAGGAAGGAATTTAGGTTTACTGGGGAGAAATGGGCCCTTTATGTGGCAAGAATTAAAGAGTGAGGAAACCAGCCACAGTGTCTCTGCCTGTAATCCCAGACACTCAAGTGGCTGAGGCCAAGAAGATCGTAAGTTTGAAGCCAGCCTGGGCACTTTAGTGAGACCTTGTCTCAAAAAATAAAAAAAGGCTGGGGATGCAGTTTAATGCAAAGGCTCTGGGTTCAATCTCCAGGACACCCCCACCGCCATAACAAAAAACAATCTGCACCACCACCTGCCTCACAAGTGCAAGGGCCCGAGTTCAATCCCTTGTACTAAACAACAACAGCAACAATAACCAATTGTGGATTCGCTAATGGAAATTAGCAAGATGGGCATTCCAGGGTCTCAATGAGGAACAAGATGGAGTTTGTGTAGCTCTAAGAATCTCTAGGGCCTAGGAATTTCCCTCAGACAGCGGCGCCCCTCTTTGGTACAGGGGATCGAACTTGGGACCTTGCATTTGCAAGGCAGGTGGTGGAACCACTGAGCTAAATCCCGGCCCAAGCCCTTTCTTGATCTACCTCAATTACTTGTGCTGAGGACTGTAAAGAGGTTGAAAAATTTTCAGACCAAAATCTTCCTCCTAACAAGATGGGGGCTTGCCGTTGATTGCCCTCCTTCCTTTATAGCCTAAACCCCTCACAGAGTATGTTCTAGAGGACTGGAAATGTTGCAGCGTTTTTTGTTTACCAATAATGGCTTTTTAGGCATGCTTAAATAGTTCTACCACACAGCTTCTACTTAAGGAAAGGGCAGAGTATTGTGTCATCAAAAGAAAAAGAAATTTTTATTGAAGTCTATAACAGACCTTAAGAGAGGCCTAAAGATAGACCTTAAATATGCATATGACCCACAAACACCATCAGGGCTGAGAGAGGACTCTGCTCTCCCTCCAAAGATTCTTTGCCAGTTCTGAGAAGGCTCCCCAAACACAGCTCTCAGCTTACCTTTTTCCACTAGCACAGAGTGGCTTTGGGGCATATAAAAAATAAATCGAAGCAGCTGTGAGTCAGAAAGGAAAAACTAAAGATAGAGGCCTGAGGAACAAGGACGCTGGGTAATCAGCCCCAAGTAACGAGAGCTGGCCACACTCTGAGATGAGTATTGTACCTGAAGGAATGTGTATAGGCCTGTGCTGTCCAACATGATAGCCATTAGCCACGTGACTACTGAAGACTTTGAAATCTAGCTAATCCAAATTGAGATGTGCTTAATATACTGTTAACACAAAAAAATGGAAAAGACCTCATTAATAATTTTTATACTGATTTCACATTGAAACAGTATTTCTGATATGCTGGGTTAAATATATTAAAATCGATATAACCTTTTTCTTCAGTTTTTAAATGTGGTTACTATAATTTTAAAATTACAGGTGAGGTTCACATTATTACATTTATAGTGGACAATGAGTCCCTAGGTACTGATGACCTAACTTATAGGACTGAAGCTGCCTATAATTTTTTTCTTAGAAATTGGGGATTATGGAGATAAAACTAATACTCAGGTTCCACTGCTTTGGTTAGTGAATTACTAAAAGCTGTTTTACTAACATTACTTCCCAAATAAGTGGGTTGTTTTCTCTGCAACCAGACCATTGCTAGAGACTGGGATTTCATTTGCTTTTTTCTGTACATCCTAGAACCTCCTCCATCATGTGTAAATTAATTCCATCCAAAATGTTAAAAAAGAGATCTGAACTGGAAGTATCTCAAGGTCTTCCCAATGTGGAGTATGAGCTAGGAAGAAAAAAGGACGACGTGAAAAGAAGTGAGAAAGTGGATCTGATCCACAAAGCTGTGCAAAGGCAGCCCCGGAGCACTGCCTCCTGACGGGTCTGGTCTTTGCTTTATAAACCTTATTTTCAGGGTAATTACAAGTCTTACAAATTGTTTAAAAACACATTTAGTTTACACGATGTTACAGCGGGGTAAATAATATGTATTATTAAAATAGTCTAAATAAATATTTACATAATAGATCAATCAGAATGGGCCAAAGAAAACCATTCTGATTTAACAAGTTAATTCTTTTCACTTTTGAGGTTTTAATTTTTAAAAATATTTCTGTAAGAAAAAAATAATAAAATTTAATTATATTCAAATACATGAAGTATCAGATCGAAGAAAGGAAACTGAGCCCGAGGCCAAATTCAGTCCACACTTAGTGTGCTTGACCTAGGCACCAATTATTCCAACAGTTTCTTCAGACGTCAGACTTCCCTGTTTCAGTATGAGCCTGGCTATTTGGGCAACCCCACCAGGCAGTTTCGAGGTGTGCAGTTATTTGGCCTTACAGTCCCACGTGAGGGCCGACACCACTTTACAGCCTATCACTCTTGCCTGAGAGCTCCCTGCCCTCACCACCTGAGGGAGGGGGGCACTCCTCAGTTTTCAATAAAAGACAAGCTCTATGTATAAACTGTAGATGCAGTTTACAAAGTACAGGAAAGAGGAAATTCTAAATTCTCTATAGTCACAGTCACTAAATGTGAAAGACAGTTTCAAAGACAGGACTAGAGCAAGCTTTTGTGGTTCCTTAGGATAGGGTGAGATCTAATGCACCTTACCTTTTTCTTAACATGTGATTTTTAACTTCAGATTTTCATTTCGTAGAAACAGGATAAATTTTAGAGGCTTAAGCTGATTCCAGGAATGCAAGCTTTAAAAACAAATATAGGCAGCTTTACTTTATGAAATACACCGGCCAACAAAGACAAAACAATGTGCAGCAAAATCTGCTGACAATGTGCACTTTTTAGTTATCTAATCAATCAATTACACTGCATTAAGAGAATGATGAAATTCTCTCACAGTAGAAAAGTTTCCACTCTGTTGTAATTATATAAGCCAATTTCAATTCTGTAGCTGAATTATGTGTATTTACATGTCCGAAACACCGGTCAAAATGTTTTACAGTCAAGAATTATATATATATATAAAGTAATTTGCATATTCAGTGGGTTATCAATTTTGCTCATGGGCTGACTGAAAGTAAGCTGAGTAGTTTCATGTTAAGGAAACCCACAGAATATCTAGCTATGGGAAAGTGGCAAAATACAGTACAGAGTGGGGAATCTGTGTAACTCAGGCTACCTCTTCATGTGAATTCATTAAACTCCCTTACAAAATTCTAAAATGGCATTAGATAAAAATACAAATATGTACACCAGATGAAAAAAAAATGCCACATGCAAGTAACTGCTTTAGTAACGCTACGCTGAAGCTCAGGTCTAACAGACTGTTAACATTTTTCTCATTTGCGACCGCAGATTTCCCCTTTCTTGAGCGCTATTTCATTGCAGAATCCCACAAAATGAGATGAAGGATGTCATGTAGCCAGCTCAGCATACTTCCCATCATCTAAAAGCCTGCTCCTTGCCATGGGTCTTCAGTCTCTGTGAACCTCAGGACGGTGTCCGCAAGGCCGGCTACATGTTGTAAGCCACGTAGATGGGGTCTAACTGGTCAGCTAGGAAGCTGTCCCGGAGGTGCATCCTCTGCTTCTCTCCCCGGGAGTTGATTGGGATGACACCTGGGTCCACCACAACCACAACACCAACGATGAGGTAATGCTCTTCCAGGACTACGTTGGTCACTAAAGGAACCAGATCCAGGGCTTCCTGTTCAGAGCCGCATAGTTCCACAACCACCACAAGCAAGTTGGTCCACGTGAACACAGCACTGAAATGTCAATGTCATCAGTTAACGTGTTGTTCCACTAGTAGTCATCTTCTACAGCCTCTACCAAGACTTCACCCCTTTCTCTGAGAACTGTCTTCTCTCTGGATCCTAACAACCTGTGCTATATGGTCTGCCCAGATGATCACAGCCGATCAGCTGAGCCATCCACAATCTCCTGGGAGTTGACGTGGGATTCAAAGTGGCACAGAGAACAGCCCCTCAGGGAGGAGAGGATGCAGGAAGAGAAGACCCACCTACTCTGGGAAGCAGGACAGAAGTTCCCGGCAGCCTCCTGGGCCTCCTGCCTGTCCTGAGACCCAGAGTCAAAGCTTTTCTGGAACTTCTGAGATGGCCAGGTGTTTTTTTTTCCCATTAATTCTTTCTTCTGCTTAAGCTTTTTTTTTCTCTCCTGCTTAGCTTTTCTGAAGAATTTTTTGGGGGACTACTTGGGATTGAACTCAGGGCCCTGCACTTGTGAGGTAGGTGGCGGTACCACTGCCTGAAGAGTTTTTGTTACTTACAAAAGAAGAGCTTTAACTTATGATAGTGTTCTTATATTAACAGGAAGAGAGGCTGTCTTAGTTCACACTGTATGTGCTCATAGTTCCCTCATGAGTGTCCCCTATTATGTAAAAGCACCACAAAGTAGAAAGTTACCTTCCACTCTATGGGTTACTGTATCACAATACATGACCTGATTGCTGATATATAGTGTTAAATCTTTTTTTTTTTTTCCCCTTTAAGGATTCCACTCATTGGGCCAGGGATTTAGCTCAGTAGTTCCACCACCTGCCTTGCAAGCGCAAGGTCCCAAGTTCAATCCCCGGTACTAAAAAAAAAAACAAGATTCCAATCATTAAAAAAGTGGGCCAGGGATTTAGCTCAGCCGTTCAGTGGCCTGCCTTGCAAGTGCAAGGACCCAAGTTCAATCCCCGGTACTAAAAAAAAAAACAAGATTCCAATCATTAAAAAAGTGGGCCAGGGATTTAGCTCAGCCGTTCAGTGGCCTGCCTTGCAAGTGCAAGGACCCAAGTTCAATCCCCGGTACCAAAACAAAAAACAAACAAAAAACCTTTTAGGGCCCGGGATTTAGCTCAGTGGTTCTGCCACCTGCCTCTCAAGTCCTGAGCTTGATCCCCAGTACCAAACAAACAAACATACAAAAAACCTGCAATACTGTGTTACATCAACAGTTAAATGTCTACAATTAGAAGGTGGCCATGCACCCAGCTTCCCTGCATGCTCTCCAGAAACTCTTCTGCCTATAGATGTTCTCATCTCAGTCAGCCTTGCTCAGATCTGGGGAGACTCTGACCACGACAGGAACATCTGTAGATGAAGAAATGTCTGGAAAGCACGAGTGAACTGTGGCTACTTAGAGGGGAAAAACCCGGGGAGAGACACACTGACTCAACAGGGAGGAAAGAAACTGGACAGATTCTGCACAGTTGAGAACCCAGAACAAAAACCAGTGGGTAAAAGCCAGAGTTTAAATTTCAAGGTATTTTAGATGGGATAATCCTTTATCAGGGAAGAGTGGAGGGGATTCCCTCCATGACAGGGGAATTGGAGGAGGCTGAAACACCAATCGTTCCATCTGCTTCCCACTGATGTTTACTGAACATATGCTCATTAGATCCTTCTTGTCATCAGAATGTAGGAAAGAGCGTTTTACTGAAAGAAAGCAGTATAGAGAGCTGAGTCTTTAGAGTGGTTGTTTTGACCTTCAAGTCATAGTTCTTCCCCCCCATACCACACTGATGTCCTAGGGGCAGATTATCTCCTACCGCCTTCTAATTATGAGAGTGGGTCCTTTAAAAAAGAAGAACCTGTCCCACAGGGCTCAGGGCTCAGAAGAATGAATGGTATTTCCAACAACACCCCCAAGGTGAGAGCTGGTCTACTTACTTTCTTAAGCCCCACGAAGATTCACATCTTTGGGTATTTGGTACAAATGGCTAACCAGAACTTTTTTTTCCATACAATTAAACTCAGGGACACTCTAATACTGAGCTATAACCCCAGCCCTCTTTTTATTTTTTGTTTTTGTTTTTTGAGACAGGGTCTCACTATGTAGTTGAGACTGACCTGAACTCACTATGCAGCCCAGGCTGGTCTCGAACTCACAGCGATCTTCCTGCCTCAGTCTCCCAAGTGCTGGGATTACAGGCATGCACCACCACGCCCGGCTCCCTCTTTTTATTTTGAGACAGTCTTGCTAAACTGTCAGGTGGGACTCGAATTTGTGATCTTCCTGCTTTAGCCTCCATCAGTTTTGGCACTGCGGCATGCGTCACTGTTCACAGTGAGCCAGATCAATTCAAATCAGCACTAAAGCAGTGTGTGCAGGGGAAATTACCATTCAGCAATGCTCCTATGGATCCTAGACACTGAAGTCTCAATGTCGATGGGGTGGTATCGTAATCCTCTCAGCTCCAATGTCTCATCCAAAGCTCCCACCACATACAGCGCGTCGTGACGCTCTGACAGAACGGAAAAATATGGTTCAGTCACATACTGCAGGCAGCGTAATGATGGAGTTAAGACAACAGGTTCATGTGTGTTCTGAGGGGGAAATGATGGACGCTGGTGCCACAGATGCAAGGGGCCAAGGCGGAATGGTACAGTCCATGTTAGTCCAGACTTTAAAATCCGGAGAGCTATCTGTATCAGGTCTTCAGTGTACGATACAGATAGTGCCATTCAGGAAAGGGGGAAGGCATACAGGAGGGAAGCCATGACCAACCAAGTGGGCAGAGAATGACTGCAGGGAACCCTACCCCACATCCCTGCCAAAAATCAGGCCTATATGCAACACTGAGAAGCAGAATGGTTCCATAGAATTAACTCTTCTTCAGGGATGAGCACGGGGTTTTTTCAGAGAGGGACTCTCTAGCCCAGGTTGGCCTTCAGCCTTCAGTACTGGGATTATAGGCATGCACCACCACACCCAGAGATGAGGGCTGTTCCTTCTGCTCCCAAAATGGTATGCATGGGTAGAAGAACTAAAAATGTTCCATTTGTCCCAGGAGCTTGTTCAGTATCAGTGCCCCCGGAGCCCAGAGCCTTGTGCCCTCAGCCATCTCTATCACTGCCTGGCCCTCTAACGCCCACTTCTGGGATCTCAAGTGGTGGCCCTGGGCACTTCCCTTCAGACACTGCAGAGGCCCAAGTATTACTTCAAAGGAACATAAATTCACTTATGGGTTCAAGAGCACAGAAGGGGACAACTGTGCCCATACCCCACACTCTTCAGGGGGTAGAAGGCCAGCCAGCACTACAGAACAGAGGTGGCAGATACCTCCGGTGGCTGCTGTGAGCTCAGTCCTGCGGACAAACCCGAGGTATCCTGTTCGAGCCCAGAGTGTCTGAGCAGCATCCCCAAAGCTGAGGCGAGTGTTGAAATGATCAGCTTGAAGAGTCTCACTGTCGTAGATGGTATAGTAGCCACTGGCTGTATGGGGACTGTTCACCCAGATCTACAAGGAAAGGACAGTGGTCACGTTTTACCAGGAACAGACAGATTCTCCTGGGACAGTATTTTCATTTGTTGGAAGCTTACTTCTATATTAACAACACAACTGCAACAATAAGGGCAGCTGGCATTTACTTTGTTTGCTCTGTGCAGAACAATGAGGTAAGAAAGACTTTACATGCCTAACCTCCACCAATCTTGATATATATGTGACAATATGGCTCCCCACTTTTCTTTATTTTTTTTTGGTACCGGGGATTGAACTCAGAGCCTTGAGCTTGCGAGGCAGGTGATGGAACTACTGAGCTAAATCCCCGGCCCTCTTTCTTTCTATTTTCGAGACAGGGTCTCACTATGCAGTTTGGGCTGACCTTGAACTCACCAGGGACTCTCCTGCCTTGGCCTCTCGAGTGTTGGGACTATAGGCATGTGTCACCATACCTTCATGCTTTTAGCCATGAGCCACACTGCCTCTCTAGCTTATTTTTCACCTGCTCCCAGATTCCAACAGAGATACCGAAGCGTCATCCTTGTACTTTGGATGTAACTACTGGTATGAAGAAGAGTCTTTAGAATTTTTTTTTGGGGGGGTGCTATTTTTTGAGACAGGATCTTGCTATGTAGCTCAGGTTGGCCTTGAGGTCACTATGCAGTTTAGGGTGACATCAAACTCACAGCAATCCTTTCTCAGCCTCCCAAGTGCTGGGGTTACAGGTGTGCGCTGTCATGCACAGCTCAAGAGTATTTTTATATTAATACAAAAATGGATGCATTTCAGAACATAATTACATGAATTTAAAAAATTTGATGTATGTGGCTTCTTCTAGTTTCAGCCATTAAAGGGTGGATTTGCCCAGTTTCTTTTCCAGCTAAGTGAATTGTAGTGGACAAATCTTGGACTAATTCTAGTCTGGGAACCAAAACCATCTCTTGACTCTAGTCTTGATATCTCCTTTCTTTTTGTCTCCTACCTTTCAGAAAAAGAATATTCACTATGAAGAAAACACTAAATGCACTTGGCCTGCTTTCAGGATGTAAGAACTGAAGTCTTGAATTTTTTTTTCTTTTGGTACCGGGGATGGAACTCTGGTCCCTGTGCTTGCGAGGCAGGTGACAGAACCACTGAGCTAAATCCCCGGCCCTGTAAAACTGAAAATTATACCTACCTCACCCAGGTGAGAGTCTCCAACAGGCCCTTTGGTCTCAGGATTAACAATAACCACTTTCACTCCAGGCAAAATCTAAGAATCAAATGGAAAATCTAAAGATAGGGTAGTAACAACCTCTAGGAATCTAACGACCTGTAGGAAATTAAATCTATTTAATAATTAAATCACATGACCTCTAGAAAATGTACAGCTAGCTGCTAGAGATGAGTACCACAAGGGCAATGGCTATCCCTACATGGCTGCCCCACGGGGCCACTGAATCCTACTAAATCTCCCTCAGTTCAGTGGAGGCCAGAGGTCTAATAAGATTCACCCTAAAAAACAAAATAGGGGACCAATCTACAACTCTTTAGAGTGATGAGAAGCTGCAGATCAGGACCATAACTGCCGTGGAACTTTCTTTTCTCACTACCTATCTCATTCACAGAAGAACGTAAAAATCCCTTAAAACAGAAAGGGAGGGCAGGACTGAGAGATTCCACTCTGGCCGTTATCAAGGAGCAGGAGGAGTCAGATGAGTCAGCACAGAGGTGGCTCTGCAGGGGAACAGAGGATGTCTGAGTCCTGGGGTTGCAAAATACCTCACATGCCTGGGATCTTCCTCAAGATGGGAAAGGAAGAACCAGGGCTCTCTGGTCACGTGCACCTTGCTCCCGGCATCTCTTTTTATCTGGGGTACCTAAAGCCTCAGGTTATTTGAGAAGCCCCACTGTGGTCCTCTGAGCTTAAATATGTGAAATCTCCAGGAAGGAAGGGAAGAAGTGGCTCCCTCTAGGCTGCCCTGGGCCAGGCCCTGCAGGGCGTTTGCTGAGGCTCCTATTTGCACTCCACTAGCAGATCTGATGAGGTAAAATCCACCCACCAGGCAGTGTTGCCTTACAGCAGAGTGACACTGGAGTCAGCACCCAGCCCCAGAAACAGCAGGATCTCCTTGTTTTCCCTTTACCTCGGCCTGGCCTCCAGAATTACTAGGCCCAGTCCTGAGGGATCAGTACTCTCTCAACTGCTCCTAGCCAGATCTCTCCTTCCTTTAAAAAAAAAACTGGTGGTACTGAGGAGTGAGCCCATGATCTGAATGGGCTATACCCCCAGCCTTTGTGTAGTTTTTTACTCTGAGGCAAGTCTTGCTGAGGTACCCATGTTAGGCTCAAACTTCTCATCCTTCTGCCTCAGCCTCCCACAGTGCTGGGACTGCAGGCGTTGTTACCACACCAGCTTCAACTATCCTGCCAGACTTCTTTCAGTTTTAAGTCTGCTATATTTTCCCCTGATCTTACACTGTATCACACTCACATCTGCACCTCTAGCTTTCTCCATGTGACATTCCTAAAAATAAAACTGGCTCTTTTTAAGTGCCATTCAGCCATCCATTTTTCAAGTAATTAACACTGCCTTTTGCTGATTTGTCAGGAAGAGTAATGCTGAATTAAAAAACTAGAAATTAAAAAGGCTCAACTCTCCTCTCCTATTGTAAATAGGTAAGTTAATTAGGTATCTTTGTAGGCAGTTAGGGTTGCCCTCAAAGCACCAGCCCTCAAGGAGCCAACAGGGAGATTAAGGCACATTTACTGGTTAGCATTATAAAGAAGAAAAGAGGTACTACTTCCTCAGAGATAAGTAACAGTGATATTCTAAATAGGAAACTCCTTGCACATGACTTATTTTCCCATTTGATCCCCATTTAATCAGTATTACCTGCGTGACTGTACTCGTAATCTTACTGTTGGTTGGTCATGGTTTTGTCCCACCTCATGTCCATCTTGTAAATTTCCACTGGGTCTTATAGTTTTGTTCCACTCTGCACCTGCCTCTCCCCATGGCTTTGCCACATGACCCCCCCCACTTAAGTTTATTGGTGCTTTTAACATATGAAACCTTTGAAAAGCAACCCATTTCTGGTCCCCCTCTGTCTCTCTCTCAGAAGCTTTCTTTCTCTCAAATATTTTCCTCCTTTTTTTTGGTTTTTTTGAGACGGGGTCTCACTATGTAGTTGAGACTGACCTGGAACTCACTATGTAGCCCAGGCTGGTCTCGAACTCACAGCGATCCTCCTGCCTCAGCCTCCTGAGTGCTGGGATTACAGGTGTGCGCCACCACTCCCAGCCTTATTTTCCTACTCTTAAACTCTGTTGTTCCTAGAATCCATACTTCAATTTTGGAGAACATGAACTCTAGTTTCAGATAATTAGCAGGTTTGGGAGTTGCATCTACTTCCCTTAAATCACTTCTACACATACCCATATAAATTTTAAAGCATTATCTAAGCAGAAGCTGTTGAATTATCTCCAGGTTTCAATTAAGTTTTGCCCTGGATACTAGCATTTCGTCTGGCTTCAGATCTGTCTACAGTGACTGACCTCTCTGCAGAGCCCACCCACCAAGGGCCACAGAAGACAGTACCTTTCCAGACTCCGACAGCAGCAGACTCTGGGGGGCTCCTCGCTCCACAAGACGAACCCTGCAGAAGAACAGAAGTTACTGAACATTGCCTTTCTAAAAGTGATTTCACCACATCTCCTGCCTTCCCGACACCCCTAACTGGTCTCTCAGACTTGGCAGCAGGGTGTTTAGCAACATCCCTTTCCCACTAGATGTCAGTAGTGGCTCCCCTGTTGTAATACCCCAAATGCCTCCAGACATAGTCAAATGGCCCCAGAGTAAGAACACTGCACAGTGATGTGCCACCCGTGCAGGATGGGGCCCCGGTTGGGACACATCAGAGGATATCCGTGAGTAGGGCTCAGGGAGAGGGTGCAGAGTCTCACTCAGCCAGTGCTCAACTGGAACAGAAATAAAATCTAAGCTGAGAAGGCAAGCTTCTACCCAGGGAATTCAGATAAAATTCTGCTCTGCTCCATAGATCTTGTCTGTCTCATATTATTTTTAAACTCTCAGAGGAAAGTGACTTATCATTTCAGTTTAATTTGTATCAAATTTCACAAGATAGTACTACATTTTTAATATTAAAGAAGAGTGCAGCAACTGTGAGAATTACAGCTTTCTTCTATAAATGGAAATCTTTTCAGGAATTAATGATAAAAACGAGCTCCTCCCCTCTTCCCAGACCCCTCTTGGAAGATGCAACCAAACATAAAGGGAACAAGGGGAAATATGGGCTTTCAGGGTGTAAACTCTGTGCTTAAGAGTGCTAATAGGCAGTGGCATACCTGTCATGTCTTAATGACTTCAGATCAACGTACACAGTAGTGGGATCAGGCCCTGAGGTTCCCTAAAGAAAATCAAAGCAGTGAAATGTTTATGTAGAATTGAAATAAACTTTCTTTTCATATTTGTTTCCTTTTTTTTTGGTACAGGGATTGAACTTAGGTCCTTGCACTTGTGAGGCAGAAGCCGGAACCACTGAGCTAAATCCCCAGCCCATCTTTTCATATTTCACATGCTCCAATTGAGAAATAGCATTTTAGCTATATATGTGCACTAGCCACTCAATTTTGAAAGCTCACTTTCTCTTCAACCAAGTGAGGTAGGGTGGAGTTAACAACTACAAGTGACTCAGCCTGGGGAATCTAGTTTCCCTTCCTCTCCTTCATCACAGGCTGCGGTAGCACGGAAACATTACCGAGCCAGGGAGGGTTTCCATTTCTGGCCCAGGGATTTTCTTTTGTTTTGTTTAAGGCAGGGTCTCACTATGGAGCCAGGGCTGGTCTCAAACTCATGCAGATCCTTCTGCGTCAGCCTCCCAAGCACTGGGATTTTACAGGTGTGCACCACCATGCCCAGGTCTGGTTCAGGGATTTTCAAAACCAACACTAGCCCCAAATGAGAGCAAGAGGCCCCAGTGGGGCTCCATGGTAAAAGTACCACAATACTTCCTGGAATTGCTTAACTATGAGCACAGAGGACCTGCAAGTATCTACCCACATATGCCATTCTCTTTTACTCAGTCTCATCCATGCCTGTGTCTGCTTTATTAGCTTCTAGTCTGTACAAAGTCAAATTCAGTTCTAGTCCCTTTTCTGTTATTAACCCATGAAGAATAACATGGCAAAGCTGCCACCTGATTGGAAAAGGAAATAAAAGAGAGCAGGTTTATTTGTGCCTCATTTGGGAAAAAAAAAAGTGTAAAATACAGAGAAAAATGGAAAAACAGGTCAGATAAAAATAAAACCCAAATAGGGTGTTCTAAATAAGACTCGAAGCCTTCTGGCTCACTGTCACGCACCACACCAACACTACGAAGAGGAAGCATTTACACTGGTGCTCGTCTATCGGCCTCTCCCAGTGCTCTGACCTAGTAACTCAGTGAGTGTGCAACCCACCTTGGGAAGTATGAAATCGCCATATCCATTTTACAGATGAGTAAGATGAGGTACAGAGCAGGCAAAGTAAAAAGCCTCAAGTCCTGCCACAAGTGAGCCCAGGCCTAGAACTATGAGAGCAAACACGACTTGGTGATATCACCTGTAAACATATTGCTACATTGACTCTGGATCCAAAAGTGGTGCTGACAGCCCGAGGGGACAGACCAATGTCTTTAAAGAGCTTGGAGAAGGACTGCTGGAGGGTGATGCGGGGCCGCTCCTCTGCCACCACCACACAGGTCCGGATGCAGGAGAGGTTGATCCCTCTGGTCTGTAAGACATGAATTACACAGGCTAAGGCAGCAGGGTCAACAGAGAAGAGCCACTGCTCTTAGGTTAAACAAAAAAAGACCAGGAATTTTTTTTTTCTTTCGTACTGGGGATTGAACTCCGGTCCTTGCGCTTGCCAGGCAGGTGGTGGAACCATTGAGCTAAGTCCCCAGCCCTCTTTTTTTTCCCAGATATGCAGAGAAAAGCAGCTTTCAGAAGAGAAGAAAATGCAAGACACCAGTCTTCTAAAATCATTATCATGTGAGCTTCAGACATTTATAGCTAAATGGATGAACCTTGAAACCATACTCATTTTTTTGTTTTGTTTTGTTTTTTTGAGACAGGGTCTCGCTATGTAGTGGAGACTGACTTGGAACTCACTATGTAGCCCACGCTGGCCTCGAACTCACAGAGATCCGCCTGCCTCAGCCGCCTGAGTGCTGGGATTGGAGTATGTGCCACCACGCCCTGCTTGAAACCATACTTTTTTTTGGAAACCATACTCTTAAGTGAAATAAATCAGACACTTATTAAAATACCACATTCTTTCTCTGGTGTGAGAAACCAAAAGTGAAAATAAGGACCAAACTGTATAATGGATGTTGGGAAATGGGAAGAAAATGTTCAAATGGGAAGGGGAACAAGAGGGGAGGGAGGAAGTGACAAGAAAAAAAGTAAAAATAGAAGGAAAAATGGAAACAAAGCTTCTGTACATGGGGGGGGCATTAGGGGAAATGGAATAAAATTTATTTTAAAAAATAAAATCATTACATGGGTAAATGTGCTCATTCTTTATTCTTTTCCTCTTTCATCTAAAAATCATGGGCTTCCCATCAATATATTTTTATTATTCCCCATTTCTGAACCTTAGGTCTCTGCTGGAACTAAGAGAGCCTGGGTATCTACTCTCATTTCTTGTTTTCCTTCTTGAAGTCATACTTCTCTATTAAAGATAATTCGGCATTTTCTGACTTTCTCATATGATAGCCAGAAATATGTTCCTTATAGTATGTATATGAACCAACTCCCCATGGCGAAGGTAACATTATGTATTGTAAACATGAAATAATTTTTAAATTTTAAAAAAGGAAAAGAAATAGAATCCTTGGAGACACACTTTAGTGAACTGTCCTTATCTCTGAGGCCACCTCCAATCTCAGATGTTTGAGGTTTCAAATTCTATGGGGGAAATTCTACTGGAGGTCACAGTTTCCTTTTATCTTTACGTGAAGTCGTTTCCATTCAGCTTCCAACCAATCTCATCTTTTTCACTAAAAAGTAAGAATCTGTTTAGATCCTGAAAAGAGTACACTAAATTAATAAAATGAAAAAGTTAAAACTTCCTGAGTTTATAAAATACTCATTTAAGTGTCTGGCCAGAAAAAGGCAGGCAAGTATGTCTGCTAAGCCTACTCTGTTATTATCATGCCCTGGTTCATTTCTCTAAAACCTCTTAGAACTTAAAAGCCCAGGTTTCTTAGATTATTTGTTGTGGCTAAAACTTACCCTTAGCACCTCCACTTGGTTTCCCAGCCCTTTAGTGCAAAGCTCCATTACAGAATAGGAGCAGAAGGTATCCCTTATTTTGTACTGGTTGACTGTGGCAAGCCAGAGGAAAAGGTTGTTTTCTAACTCCATAGGAGGAATTAAGATGGACTGATGACCGGAATAGACACTGAAATGAAGAAAGGCGAGAACACTATTAATTCATTCTAGACACCTTATCCTAGAACACTAACAATTCAACAGATATTTACTGCGTGGGAAGGACAGTGGACAGTTACATTAGCACTAAGAATCAGCCTTGTCCCTATGCAACTCACAAGACATAGTAACCATAAATTAGAGTAGACTGTAGTAGGTGTGGTAACTGAGCTGTGAATAAAGGACAATATGAGTTCGTAGAATAAAGAGCGATTCATTCAAAATGAGAAAGGTGGGTGGGGGTGGCTGTGTCACTGAGTAGGAGGCGTCTGAGCTGGGGTTTAAAGAATGAGGAAGAACTGAGTGGCTAGAAGAGGGGAGGACAGGGAGGGTATTCCAGGCAGAGGGACAGAGTATCCACAGGCAGAGAAGTACAGAGCATGCATGGTTAGAACAGCATTCCAGGGGAATCCTGGAGCACAGGGAACACGGGGGAGTAAGGCTGCAAAGGCTGGGCCAAACTCTGAAAGGGCCTAACTGGACTATGAAGTGGGTGACATTACACCCCTAAAGGGCGGTTTTAGTTGGAGCAAAACCAGCAACTGGAGCAGAGACTGGAGACACAAGTCATTGGAGGCTGAAGGCCAAAGACTGTAACAATCTGCTGGCAACAATACGAAAGAGGGACTATGTGGGCTTGAATTCCAATAGCTTGACTAGGATAAAAAGAAAGGAATGGCACAGTCACCTATCATAGATATAATCTGCAGACATGAAGTCTAAACTTCCTAAATCCTTGTATAGATTAGAATCATTAGGAGCTCAGGAAGCATGCATTTAAAATATACTGGCACTGCGGTTGTCACCTCTGGAGAGCTAAGTCTGGGGAAGCCTCATTATTCTTTCTACGTCAGATAACAAAGGTGTCAACACTGTAACAAGGTTTGAGGGAGATACTTCTCATGCACAACAGTGTGAAAACCCAGTCATCACACTTAATGAACCACAAAATGATTTGTTTTTGTTTTGTTAACACATTCACAATGGGGCCATAATTTATACGTCTCACAGATGGGCAGCCTGAACTACTGGTGGTACATGTATGATGGTCCCATTGGGTAGCTTTTCATTATTTTTATTAATAAAAAGATCAATAAAAGGGATAGTTATAGTGTTTGTATCATGGGTGATACAAGCGACCTGATGAGACCATCATGCGTGCACCACCAGTGGTTCAAGCTGGTGGAATGTGTCAAAGACGACTGATTCTTACAGACAGACCAGTACAGAACAACTGAACCAGAGAATGTAACACTTAACTATGTACACCATGGACATGGAAGCTGAAGACAATGCCCACATTTCATTTACGAAGCATTCATAATGCCCACAGAAGTGAAAATACAGGTCTGAGATAAAGCCCCTGGGGCAGATGACAGAAAGAGCTGGAACGTGCTATTCCTCAAGAAGCAATCTGGCAGGGCAAACACGCTACTTTCCAGGCACTGCCACCACCAAATTGCAGTACCTTCCTGCCAGGCCTAGGGGGTATATTTTGGCTGTCACCCAAGGCATCATCCTACCATCTGGCTTTGCTTCTAAAACAAGGATTATAGGTAGAAGCACAGAAGAGGTAACAGAATAAGTGCCATTTTATATAAAGCATTAAACAGAAGAGGGGAAAAAGGGAATCCAGACAAAACCAGACAACTCAGAGAAACAGCCTTTTACTAAAAACCACAGCAAGTTAAAGGAGCAAAAAGAAGGATGAGCTGGTTACAGCAGCCCCAAAGTATACCCCATACATTCTGTTTCTTTGGTTTTCCCATCCTTACCTGCAGAGACACCAGAGTGCGAAGCCAAGCCCGCAGTAAGGGTCAAGGCAGATGGCGATCTGCCGAGAAGAATACAACTCACACTGGAGCTTAATGGCTCTACAGAGAGCGTTAACTGCAGAGTGGGACATCTAGAAAGGAAGGAACATGGAACAGGATGGAACTGGCATAACACACACAGAGAAACAGCTCTGAAGTTTTAATTCCCCAAACTCAAGTGAGGCTTTTTTTTTTTTTTTTTTTGGGAGATAGGGTCTCACTATGTAGTGGAGACTGACCTGGAACTCACTATGTAGCCCAGGCTGGTCTTGAACTCACAGCGATCCTCCTGCCTCAGCCCCCCGAGTGCTGGGATTACAGGCGTGCGCCACCACACCTGGCTTTTAGTGATGCATATTTTTATTACCTCATAACTTAATCCAAATCTAAATTAGAGCAACACATTTCTGTTCACCAGTTAATAATGAACTTTCTATCAGTCTGTGATTACATAATGACCTTAACTAGAACTCAAATCATCAGTTAGCTTCTATGCTAGGGTCAGACATTTCATAATACAGATTCCTTGGAATAACTTATTCCGGAAGAGCTAATGCTTTTATTTAAATATAGCAGGGACCCTTGATCCTCCACCTACTGGCCTTTAGTTCAGCCAGCAGGCCTCTGCCTCAGAGTCTCAGGGGCAGTGGTCATCTCTATTTCTGGCAGCGGGGCACCTGACCAGTTTTTGGTGAGTGAGTGCATACATCCAGACTGCTTTACCTTCACTCCTGTAAGCATGCCAGTTGTGGAGACACTGAAATCAAGATATGCCAACATCTCAGGAGTGGGTGGTTTATATAGCTGAGATAACCTTTTCCTGGGTAAATCATCTGCAATGAAAAAACAAAACAAAACAAAAAAACTCAAAGGTCATTAGACATGCTGGAACGTGAAAACCATTGCTCTTCTACTAGTCTTCTGTGGCTCTGCTATGGCTAAATTTAGCTTCTGGGATTTATGAAAGCTTGGGGTTCCTGTACTGAACCAAGCAGCTCATGAATTTCTCTCTGAGGAAGGATGGGGTTGAGGATACCGCTAGAAAAAATAAAGAGGCAAAATCTACATCAGGTGAATTTGTTTAATAGAAGGTTAGCAAGGAGTAATATAGCATAGTAATAAGCAAGGTGCTGCTCTTCAAATGCCAGCTCTAGGAATGGAACTTGGGGCCTTTTACATTTTGTGATAGGGTTTGGCCAAGTCACTCAGATGACCAAGACGGGCTCGAACTTATAAACCTTTTGCCTCAGCCTCTCAGGTGCTGGGATTATAGGTGTGCACCACAATGGCTGGCTGCCCTTTTTTAGTGAATATCACCTAAAATTCATACACGTTACAGTTTTGAAATTATTTTCATATCATAGGATAGACTTTCTCAATAAACATGTAAGTCAGGGCTGGGCATGGTGGTGCATGCCTGTAATCCTAGCACTTGGGAGGCTGAGGCAGGAGGATGGCTGTGAGTTTAAGACCAGCCTGGGCTACATAGTGAGTTCCAGGAAGAGTGAGACCCTGTCTCAAAACAAACAAACAAACAAAGAAAAAAAACCCCAACCAAATAAACAAAAAATCATGAAAGTCAAGGGAGGCAGTATTTAGCAAAGGGTCATCCCAGTGAAGGTTATACAGGCAGCAAGTGCTAGTGAAGCTCACACCCAGGTGTTCTGACTTCCGGTCCAATGTTGTATCAACTATGATGGCTCTAGAAGTCAAGGTTAGACTATACCAGTATTTCATATGGCCCTACATGTAAATACAGTCACAGCTGGCATGATATCCTAACCACCTTTGGATGACACCAAAAGGGACAGCAAGATACTTTATTTTTTAAAAAGTTTTTTTTTTTCTTAAGTTTATTCATTTGATTGCTTGATTGACTGACTGCCTGATTTTGGAGACAGGGTTTCACTATGTAGCGCAGGCTGGCCATGAACTCCCTTTGTAACCCAGGTTCGCCTCGAACTTGTGGTGATCTTCCTGCCGCAGCACTCCAAGTGCTGGGATTACAGGCGTGTGCAAACACCCAGCTGGTTTATTTTTGAGGCATGGTCTCACTAAATTGCTAAACTGCCCAGGCTAGGAATGAACTTATGATTTTCCTTCCTCAGATTCCCAGAGTGCTGGGATTACAGGTGTGCACCATCATGCTTGGCCAAATACTTTGTCTGAAGAACTCTTGGAGTACCATGAATGAGCTGGTTCTTTGGATTTGGTTACTGTCCAGTCCTTTGGTCCCACAAGCGGAATGAATATTAATTTTTATCTTCCTTAAATAAAGAATTGCAGCCCAGGATTTAGCTCAGTGGTTCTGCAACCTGCCTTGCAAGTGCAAGGACCCGAGTTCAATACCTGATACCAAAAAAAAAAAAAAAGAAAGAAAGAATTGCAGAAAATACTTAAAGCAACATTATCTACAGAAGAAGAGTAAATAAGCTATCGAGAAATAGAAATCAAACATTAGAAAGACAATATGATAGGAATTAATACACACATACCTTTCTATCATAACTCTGAAAGGTAAATGGTCTTATTTCTCTAATTAAAACACATGGACTGGTAGATTAGTTTAAAAAACAAGACCAACTCTGCTGCTTGCAAGGTTTTCTCTCTGCCTTAGCAGATGGAATATGCTTCAACATGAAAGATATACAAATGTGCCTGGCATGAGAATGTAGAAAATCCCAGGTAATGAATGTTGCTTCTGCAGCAGCTCTGGAGAAAGGACTTCTTCTCACCTGTATCAATGATGGTCGGCCAGGTTTTCACATCCACGGCTGCGGCTGCCTCCCGGGACCTTAGTAACCTCATTAGGGTCTGGGTGGTAAGAATGCAGGCTGCTTTGCTGACCTAGAAATGAGACAGACAGCAATAAGCACCTCTGGCTGCTGCTAAATATTAACTTTTCAAAGATCAGGATTGGAGTTTACCTTGGCATTTTTGTGTAATGCTTAATTCTCTCAAAACAATAAGACTTTTTTCCAAGCAACGAGTTGTAGCTTACAACAGTGATTCTTAAGTATTTTAGTTATTCTCTCAGTAATGGATCCTGCAATCCAGATTTCATTAAGCCCAGAAGACAGTAAGGACCTCTGCACACTTAGGAAGGAAAGGAGTGAGATGAATGCGTATGGAGCCGTGTGTGCTGTAGCTTAGTGCAGGGAGATGGAGCATCCTGAATGCCGCACAGCTCGCAGAACACGGATTCAGATGCAAGTCCCGCAGACAACGAGCCTGGCCTGGGATGTGTGCAAATGCAGATCAACAGAAAGAAACCCCTACTTCTCTGGCCCACTTTATAACAAGGGCATTTGTTTGAATCAAACTGTGTGTGTGTTTTTTTAAGGGCTGGGGATTTAGCTCAGCAGTTCCACCGCCTACCCAGCAAGAGCAAGGACCCAAGTTCAATTCCTGGTACCAAAAAACAAAACAAAACAAAAAAACCAACTGCATGTTTTTTGTTTTTGGTACCAGGGATTGAACTCAGGACCTCGCGCTTGTGAGGCAGGCAGTGGTGGCTGAATCAACTGTGTAATAAAATCAATCATGATGAACATTGCTTTTATGCTGCTAACAGAACAGTAACTCTCAGAGAAACAAACAATAAGTAAATTAGAATTCTGTAACCTTTCAGTCCCTTGGCCAACACTGCCTTGTGCTTTAATATACATGAGGATATGATGCAATACAGATGTATTTAATTTCAATTCTTAAAACTTTACCACATATTCCAGAATAAAGTTTGGATGTCTTTTTTCCTGCAGTGCTGATGATCAAATGGAGGGACTTGCTCATGCTAGGTGAGCATTCTACTGCTATATGTTCCCTAACCCCTGGACATCTTTTTTTCTTTTGCAGTACTACGGATTAAACATAGGGCCTGCACACTGAGCTATATGCCCAGCCCCCTGCCCCCTTTAAAGACAGGGTCACTAAATCACTATTAGCCCAAACTTATGTTCCTCCTGCCTCAGGCTCCTAGAATGTTGGAGTTACATGTGTGTGCTACCACACCCAGACTTGTACATCTTATTTTTTTTTGCAGTCCTGGGGATCGAACTCAGAACTCTGCATTTGTGAAGCAGGCATGATGCTACTGAGCTTAATCCCTGACCTCTACTTGGACATCTTTAATGCTAACTAAATGAATTTATGAAACTAGAATAAAACTGATCTGATACTGGGGAGAATTTAAGAGTCTGGTGTGTGAAATTACGCTGCTTATTATACAGGAAAAGTAACAGACAGATAACATGCTTTATGAAGAAGAGGACAAGTTTTAGGGAGAATTATTAATGATGGCTTTACCTCCTTAATGTTCATGATTAATATCCACAATTCTATATTTCACCAATAACTATTTTCTTATAGTTCCTTTAATAACAATGGTTACTTTGGCTGGATTAAAGAACAGGAGATAGATTTTATGAGAAAAATTTGACTTTTTGTTGGTAATCCTGGGGATGGGACCCAGAGCCCCAGAGCCTTTGTACTAAATTCATTCCCAGCCCTTTTACTATTTTTTTTTTTTTTTAATTTTTGGCACCAGGATTGAACTTGGGACCTTGCACTTGTAAGGCAAGCAGTGGAACCACTGAGCTAAATCCCCCCCTCCTTTTTTTTTGCTTTTTTGAGACAAGGTATCACTAAATAGTTCAGGCTGGTCTTAAACTCATTATGTAACCTAGACTGGCCTTGAACTAACAGCAATCCTCCTGCCTCAGCCTCCCAAATGCTGGAATTACAAGCATGCCTACCATACCCAGCTTACTTTTTCCACTTTTGAGACAAAGTTTTGCTAAGCTAAAAAATAAAGAAGTTTTGCTGAGTTGCTCACATCGAGCTCAAACCTACCATTCACCTGCCTCAGCCTCCTAGAGTGCTGGAATTCTAGACATTGGACACCATGCCTAGCTAAAATTTTACTTTTGCGGGTGGAGTGGGGCGTTGAGACAGGTTCTCACTACACAGTCTAGGCTGGTCTCCAACTCACTATGTAGCCGAGGCTGGCCTTGAACTCATGGTGACCCTCAGCCTCAAGAATGCTGGGATTACAGGCACGTGCCACCATACCCAGCAAAATTTGACTTCTTTTTAAGGGTTTTTTTTGGGGGGCGGGGGTACTGGGGATCAAACACAGGACCTTGTGTTCGAACCACTGAGCTAAATCCTTGGCCCAAACCTTGACTTCTTGATACAATAAAACTGAGAAATTATTAAGGCTCCTTAATTTTTCGAATCTGGGCTTCATGAGATGAGGACAAAGCAAAGTACACTTGGCACTTACATCAACAATCATGCGGACAGTAGGCAACGTGGCAGTCAGGTTCTGGGCATGAGGAGGTCTGACGGTCACAGGTATACATCCTGCATACAGGCAGCCATAGAATGCAGCAATCAACTCGATGCCTGTAAGATAGAGGGCATGATCAGAGGTCACTTAACTGCTAGTATCACTAAGAAGCTGGGTATTGTGGCGCAGGACTATGATCCCAGCACTTGGGAGGCTGAGGCAGGAGGATCACTGTGAGTTCAAGGCCAGCCTGAGCTACACAGTGAGGCCCTGTCTCCAAAACAAAACAAGAAAACCCAACAACAAAACAAAGAACACTCCCCTCATAGTATCACTAAGAAATTAAATGCAGACCTTCCAAAATCAGTTTACGAAATCAAGCCAGATGGGTTAAACCACCATTTAACAAGATACCAGCAGAAGAGGTTGGGCGTGGTGGCACACGCCTGTAATGCCAGTGCTCAGGAGGCTGAGGCAGGAGGATCGCTGTGAGTTCGAGACCAGCCTGGGCTACAGAGTGAGTTCCAGGTCAGTCTCCACTACATAGTGAGACCCTGCCTCAA